TGATACGGTTTCTGGTAGCTTTGGGGTGACGCATAAGAAATTGATAATCCTCACCTTCAGCACCACCCCGCTATCATCACCCCGCAATAAGCACCTCTCTGCCAGTTCAGAGTCAAGTTTGCCATCAACCTCACTACCAGTACCGCTGGCATCAACCCCGCTACTTGTGCCTCTGCTCTGCCATTAACCTCGCTACTAGATATATTATCCTGTAAAGAACAATTACAAACCGACAACAGGTGTAACGGCCACCCAAAATCAGAACCGTTCTAAGTTTAGTAGTTCTTGGTACTTACAGTCGACTCTCGATATAAGGGTACGCCCTAGACCGGTAATCGGTACCCTTATAGGGCGTGTACCCTTATAGTAAGGGTCAATTTGTACTCCAAAAGCCAATAAGGACCGTGAAGTCGTATTCTTATAGGGCGAGTATTCTTATAGAAGGTACCCTTATAGCGAGAGTCGACTGTAATTATAAGCGCCTGTCGAAGTGGTCAGAAGTGCACATAATATCACTCGGGGGTATTGATCAACGCCAAGATATTCTCCTAATTTGGTACAATTATCGTTTTTTTATTGTTAGACACGGCAGTATATCCAAGGGCGCAAACCGGTTTGTATTTAGTCAAAAACGGTATCAACTATACCATTATCAGGTACATTGTGCGAGGCGCGCCCAGTCTACTCAATGCAAAGTTATAGTCTATATAGGTAACCTCTACAGCGCCCACAGCCCCAGTCCAAAGACGATCCTTCAGTCTATCCTGGGCGTCATTGCGTATGCATTTTATACCGGGTCCTTCTGAAGGCCCAAACAGTTGAAGCATTAAGTTCAAACATGTAAACTGTACCAGCCGTATCCTTACCGTTAGGCTTTGTACCGGTTTAGACCACTAACTCAATACTACATTATATCCATTCACTGAGAGACAGGCTGTCACGCCAGGTTCGTGGTGATTTGCATTTGCTCCTTATGGCTGATCACACTCATTCGAGCTAATATCTCAATGTCCCGACGGTACAATTTGGAAAGATAATTTACTTGTACTGGGAGCTGACGCGGGAGGGTTAGGCTATCTTTATATCTTACCCTTTTCATACTCTGTAGGAGATAGCTACCAAAGAATGGTGTGTTAGGAGAGATGAATTACCAAAGATAATATTCTATGAGGGCCGACCGAATAAGGAAAACCTTCAGCCACGGTAAGACGAAAACGCCTTACTCCCCTAAACCAGGGCGCTCTTTGAAAAGCTCTTCGAACGAAGGTTCAGAAAGTTCAGAAATCTCTCATTTGAGATCTATCAGTGTGAATGTTAAAAGTTAATTCTTTGTAATCCAAGCTTCTACTGCTTCGCGGAATTGATACTTGAGTAAGAGTATCTTGTGAGACTCCGCATACTCTTCAAGGGTTTTACCTCGTTATGATTTACCACTTCTGGAGCTGTAGGATACAAGTTCAGGTGGTGTTACTAGTAGTAGAGTACAGATATAGAATATATAGTACGCAGTGAAGGAGGGTATGAGTGAGGGCTAAGATTGTAAGTTTCTTCTAGTTGTTCCAGGTTTCTTTGGGCGGGAAGAGGTGAAACTGTTTTGGAACCCAGTTTTTATATGTCTGCAGTGAGAGCTGTTTAGCTCTTCTGTACGGTGGTTTATTCTAGTTTTGTTCTGACAGATTTTAGATATCCCTTGAGTGGTAATGGTATAGGCGATTGAAATAATGTTATCTTTAAGAACCGGAGAACCATAATTTAATAATGATTAAGTAAGGCTCACACGGAGGGAAAGAAAGTGCCTGTCTCTTCGTGACTGGTATCGGAAGGGGGTGACTGGTGTATGAAGGAGGTGACTGGTATCGGATAGAAGGCAGGAGAAGGTGACTGAGGGAAGGATCCGCATCTGTTGTAAATTAGTTTATACGGAGCTCTGCGACCTTGATTACTTAGATGAATATCATAAGACTTACCTCTCACATTACTACTGTTCAGTTAACCGTTCTTGACTACCTGCTTCTATTAAGAAATGAATACTCTTGAGATTCATGATATATATCAATTTTTTCGGGTCCAATCTTATATTATACAAAGACAGGTATCAATACTGTGTAAGTGCTAAAACATATAAATATTAGTATAGGATAAATGATGATCATATGCGAAGACATAGACCTCCGGTGCTTTGAATCAACTTTGTGTTTCTTGGGTTACTTGCGAGACAGAGTCCGGTGAGTTGAGGTGAAGAAAAGCATCGAGTTCCGATGCCATAGCTAGGCCTGTAGGAGCATAAGATAAGTGACTAAGCCGTTTGCTGTATAAAGGTGACGAAGTCATATAGTGACTAAATGACCGGGTCTTTTAAAATTGTCATTTATATGACCACCGTTAACAAATGACTAGTCATTTAGAGCTAAATGGCCATTGTTTTGCTTCTAAATTAAACGATTCACTACGGATACGGCATCTATATCTCTGTCCATCGTTATTTATCTCGTATCTGCTACTACCAGGGCTGCTGCTACTGCTACTGCTGCTATTAGCGGTGGCTTTACTAATTGGCACGATGGATCTGACCTACTTGTTACTGGTGACGATGGTGGTAGTGATGGTGTTGTGAATGACGAGGATGATGGCGAGGTTTTGGAGAGAAGAGGTGGGGGGGGGGGGTAGGTATCTTTATAGCTGGAGGATTAGAAATAGGGTTTCACTAGCGTAAAGTTAAAATTTTCAACCAAAATCTACCGTCATTAGAGTCTTTTTGCCAGCGACCGTAAGAGTCGTTAACACTAAGTTGAAATACCCATGACTTTGGTGCATGCATTAGGGGGACCTAGGCCTGCATGGTATGAGGAATACTCTCGGGGGAGAGTTCTAGGGATTGGTATTCTAAATATTTGACGGTGTATTCTTAATCACGATTTTCAAAAAGTGATATATGATACGCATCCTGCATGTACAAAAGTCTTGGGTATTTCGGTTTAGTGTTAACGACTTTTGTGGTCGTTGGCTAAGTGACTCTAATTAGTAGAAGATGGCGAAACAATTTTCCTCATCTATTCTTATACCCTAGAGGACAACGGGTCCAGGGGCAGAGGTGGTGGACAAGCTACAGAGTGTCTATGGATGAGTTTAGAGGGTTGGGGGGAACGAAGAGTAAGGAGTTGGAGATTGAGCTGGAGGTGAACGTGGAGATTGTGGGCAATAGTTTGAAAGTGAATTTGGTGCAGAGGGTGGGGTGAGGAGGCCGGTTGAAAGCTATGGGGCTTCCGTTTCTTTCCTTTCTCTTTCATGTTTTATATTCTATTAATTGTGACGGTGCTTTTCATTTTCTTATGACCATACTTTTTGTGCTACATGGGGAAATGGGGACAATGAATGAATTTTTTTTTTTACCACTTAAGGCGGTGACGCGGACCAGTTGGCCGAAGATATTGAATCAATTTATTCGCACTGCTGTTATTGGACTATCTAACTCCGCCAACATCACAAACACAGTCTCCCTGTTGACACTCCCCCTCACCACCGAGAACATACCAAACGGACTACCCACAATACTTTTATCGGACAGAAAAAACGGTAAATCACAAAACAACATTCCCCACCAAAAATCATTGAACAGAGGAATTCAATGCTTGATTATATCTGCCCAACACATCGTTTAGCGAAATATGTTTGGACGCGGTATTAGGGTTAACACGCAGTCTTGGGTTACACGACATCCGGACACAAGTGAGCACTCGGCCGGCTTGGCAACAACCCTAACCCCGTCTCGATCAATTTTCATAATGGCATGTTCGAATATATTCTGAGGAAGGAGAACGAGCTGGTCCCGCACAGGTTGAATGATATATTGATTGGTTGATAAATTGAACCCTCCACCTATGGTGCTTCACCCTCCTCCCTCTCACCGCTCAATCCCTGAATGACGAAAATGAAAGGAAAGAAGGGATAAAGAAAATAAAACAAATGCAACTATTCCAACACAATTTCGCTCATCCCTCTCCTCCCGTCTAGGCTTCTTTGACTGTGTATAGCTCCCCCAAGCCTGAATCATGTACCTGTGCAAATTTCTCTTTCCTAATTGATGGACCCGTCTTATCTTTTCCTTTTAAGATATTTGCTAACGGGGGTGCCCGTGTGCCCTATGCTCTCCAGTTTGGTTTTCTTTGATTGTTATTGTCTGATCTTCTCTGTGACGACGCTATGCCCATTTTTCTACACGAATACCTTCTCGCAATGGCGCCCCTAGCTACACGGTTCGTATGGGATGAAGTATTGCTTTAGCCATTCCCATGTTCGCGAATCGTTTCGACGTGCAATATTCCATAAGCAGGCATGATGACCTTTTCGCAGGGGACAGTAACGCCACAACGGGTCCAGGTGAGTGATCACACAGGGTGAGATTGATTCAAAGGATTGATAAAGAAATCAAGGAACTTACTAGCACTAGCCGCCGTCTTGGCCCCCACAATACCATTTTTTTCTCTGGCGTGAGTTAGGTTTGTGTTGACAAGGATCTTGGACACTCCCACGTGATATATCACCACCGTGCTGTGTTAACTAATACTCTAGACCATTAACTCTTCATTCTCGCTACGAATTCCTCCGCTTCGGGTGGGAACGTAACAGCTCCCCCCAACAACTAGTTGTCATTCATCCGGAATCTCACCAATGAGATCCATTGTTCTCTATATCCAATATGAATTAAGTTGAATGTTTCAATTGGGAATAGTGGATAATACTTGTATCTAGAGTATTTACACTCGGGATTGCAGTTGACACAGTGCATTTGACACTCAATGTTCGGGTAAAATTAGATATAAGATTTTATTTTTCTTCTGAAATAACCTACTTAACAATATAATAACGAATCCTAAGCCCGCCATTCACTCGCCCAGGACCCCTGCTACCGAAGCTGGATTTTATCCTACCCCACTATATTAGTTTACCACCGCCAAAACCCAGCCAAGAACTTGTTAAGTAATGTACCATGGGCCAAGACCTCATTTCTTCGTACCCTGAGACTGGGAACTGGAAGTACCGCCGCCGGACGACTTCGACGTATTTTGAGTGGCCGCGCTACGATCCGCGGTGGACTGCGCACGTGCAGCAAAGCTGTGGGAAGAAGTATCCTTACCACCTTTCGCCTAAGCAATGAATGATGGTAAGTGAGGTTGGTGGAGGAGGGGAGTGGTATGTCGGACCTACCTGACTAGATTGAATCCGGGAGGCATCTGATTTGGACATTTGGTGTTTGCCAGACATTTTTGTTTCTGCTGGGGTGACCTTTGTAATTTGGTTGAAAAATTTGATTGAATGATTTGGTTTCATGCGAGAGGAGAGAGCGGTGGTCATTATAAGGTGTAGGATACCTAGTACTTCCATGATATCATCTACTACCACAAATCACGAGCAATTTGGGGGCTGCCAAGGGAAAGAGCTTAGTGCGGCAGGATCGGACGCAAATCGACGTAAAATAGTTTGGTAGGCCCCCTTGGTAACACCTAAATTACTAGAGATTTGATGGCCTTTAGGCATCCAGCATTCAGGCACCCAATATTTAGGCCCCCAAGAAAATATTCATGCGCAACGCCACCTCAAAAAAATCTGGATTTTTCTCAAAAACCCGAGTACCACATGCATGACCTGGTCGTGATACCCCGACCGTTTGCCGATGATAGAGATGTCAGCATGGTGTCATAGGTGAGCATACCTACAAAATCGTCTACGACGGCGAGAATCAGGCGATGTAGGTATCTGTGCTTAGAGGTGAGTTTTGCCAGGGAAAGTAGTAACGCCCCCGCGAGGGTATGGCACTTTTTCTCGATTGCGAGAAGGGATCGACGAAATTAGGAACAGCAAGACAACAGATCGAAGACTTCATCTTCCATAGGGATCTATTTCTGTTGATTTTCCCTAAGGTTCTAGCGTCCTGTTTAACGTTCTTGGTCGTTGGACCTATACCCTGACCAAGATGTCTATAATCCTCTCTACGTGGGCGCCTTCATTAGTGACCCGAGAAGATTTGATCTCTGACAGGTGGTTGTGGGGAAAACGGGTGTAAAGGGAAAGGAGACCAGCCGCAATGCCAACCTTACTCACAACAGGCATAAAGAACCTGAAGATTCAACTGATACAGGCAGGGGTTGTTGTTTGGGATGATCCCTCTGGTGAGTAAAGTATATATGTCCAGGCTCTTGATATTCGAGTGCGAGTGATAGGCTGTGATGCTGTTAAACGCCTTTCCACACCTTAAGGCCTTCATAGATGGCAAGCCAGAGAACACCCGGACGAGAGATCGGCCAGAGCTTGGTACTAGTTGAATAATTGATAGCATTTATTTTATCATCAGCCACCAGTCTTTCCCCCCACGGAAAAGAGTCAGCATAATAAGCTGGATGTGAGGTCAAACAATTAATTGATAAGAACGACAAGGAGACGGGCCAAGCTCTTGGCACTAACATCATCTTCTGTCAGATGAATGGATACTTTACGGCAGGTGTGTAAACTTCGGCCTTTTAAAAGATTTAACTAATCAGTGTGCAGGAACTTCTGACGACAGAAACGAATTAATGTGATGATGAGATGGACAAGGGAGAGTCGTGACAGAAGAAAACAATGGCTAGCTATGTTTGGACACGGTAGCTTCTTGTGGCATGTTCTGAGTCCCTCAGTCCCAATCGTTGGACACGTTTGGGTGGGTCGCTTGCCAGGCTGTGAAATACCTCCAAAGGATACAAAATTTGCTTAACGAACACCGTAGAAGTTGTCATCCTGTTATTGCGGCTTGCGGATTTCATAATTTTGCGTTTTGCAACAGTCTATTTCGAAGTGTCAATTAATTGTCAAAAATGACACTTAGTAAATACGCTGAGCCATGAGATCGTAACTTTTCGGGTATAATGGCCAATCAGAAGAAGGCTGGGCACGAGACAGATACATCCATGTCCCCGTAGGCACAGTATATCAACACAATCACCACCACCAGCACCACCTTTAGAGAAAGTATGTAGGAGAAGTAAAGTAATTGATCGTGTTATTGTTCTAGCTAAGGGGGAATGCCCCGTATTTATACTAATGAAAGGTAGTACAAAAGAAATACAATGAGTCATAGACGTGTAAGTAATAGGATGACTAATAGGAAAGTGAGTCATACGCCGATGACAAATACTATAATGAAATGATGAGAATCTTCCAGAACTATGAAACGTGTCGAGCGTCCTATTTCAAGACTTCCCCTCGTGAGCCACAGTGAATAGTAGAAGAAAATAAAACATGTTTGCCTTTATCCAATCCTTTAGTAAGTAAATCCGCCACGTTCTCGTTCGTAGAAATATATTCCAGTTCAAATAATTCATCCTCAAACCGTTCCCGAACAAAATGAAAATGTACGTCAATATGTTTAGACCTTTTATGAAAGACAGGATTTTTAACCAAGGAGAGAGAACCGTTGTTATCGCCTCGAAGAATGAAAGAGAGATTTGGTTTTCGTTCCAGCTCGTGGATTGCATTCCTTAACCAGATCAGTTGTCGACTGGTGTCCGAGAGGGCCATGTATTCCGCTTCAGTTGTAGAAGTGGCGACAGATCGTTGCTTATAAGAGCGCCAGGAGATGAGGGCTTCCCCTAGCATGAAGCAGTGGCCGGTGAATGAACGGCGATCGTCGATGTCGGAGGCATAGCTTGCGTCGCTATAGCCGATGAGTGCAGTTGGTCGCGTTTTGGCGTAAAAAAGTGACCAATCGAGGGTACCTTTGAGGTAACGGAGGACGCGATGGACTGCAGCTAGATGAGCCTTAGTGGGACAGGAAGAAAATTGCGAGAGCATGGTGACGGTGTAGGCGAGGTCGGGTCTAGTGCCGATGACTGCGTACATGAGTGAACCAATTATCGACTGATAAGTTGTTGGATCGTCGATTTTTTCAGCTTCCGTTCCTTTTTGGAGGTGGACGTTGTTGTCGATAGGTGTTGCCACAGGTCTTGATTCGTCGAAGCCGTATTTGATAAGTACACGCTTGAGATAGGCTTCCTGTGATAGGATTATGCCTGTTTTTGTGTGGATCAAGTGGATTCCGAGTGCCCAGTTGGCTGTGCCAGTTTCCGTCATTTCGAATTCAGAGTGGAGGAGGAGGCTGACGCGGTTTTTGCGTTCAACGGACCAGTAGAAGATGAGGATATCGTCTACGTATATTGCTATGACAACTTCCCCTGTTTTGTGTATGAAGACACAAGGGTCGAAGTCTGCTTTTCTGAATCCGATTTTGATTAGCGCTTTTGAGAGGCGGGCATACCATTCCCTTGATGATTGTTTGAGGCCGTAGATGCATTTGATTAGTTTGCATGCTTTGCCGGGAGTGGGGTAGCCTGGAGGAGATTTCATGTAGATTTCTTCCTTAAGTTCGCCGTATAGAAATGCGCTTGTGACGTCCATCTGATCGCATTGACCGCCGGTTTGAAGGCAGCGAGCGAGGAGTAGTCTGATGGATTCGTATCGGGTGACGGGGGCATAGGTTTGATCGAAATCTTGACCAGGTACCTGTGAGAAACCTTTTGCGACTAGTCGGGCTTTGTACCGTATGGGGTTGCCATCGGGCCCGAGTTTGATTTTGTATACCCATTTGCAGTCAACCAGTTTGCGGTGATCCGGTGTGTTGACCAGATTCCATGTGTTATTCCTTGCGAGTGAGTCGAGTTCAACTTTCATGGCATTCTGCCATTTTTCGGAGTCGGGACTGTTGATTGCTTGGTGGTAGTTTGTTGGTTCTGTTAGGGTAGTGTCATGCTGAATGTTGTGTCCGTATCTGACCGGAGGTTTCCGTTCCCGTGCTGGGTTACGTCTCGGTTGATCAGTATCTGTTTCATTATCATCATGCGGGGTGCGTTCAGTGGCGGGCCTCGTATAGCCGGCCCGCACTATACTTGCGTGGTATTCCGAATCAGTGTCGGAGTAATGTTCCATGGTTTTGCGCATTATCTGTTGGTTGATCATGTCGTCGTCGCTTGGGTCGTCGTCGTATGTCCTACGTTGTTTTGGTGTTGACGGACATGAGGGTGGTTCTTGTTTGATCTCGATTTGTTTTGGTTTAGGGGGTGTATCGGTTTTTGTTTTGACTTCGATTTCTTCCCCTACGGATGTACCTTTAAACCTAAAATGACGAGAGAGAACTACTTTCCTTTGTGATGGTATGTAGACGCGACAGATTTTTTCAGAGTCTCCGTATCCGCAGAATTGTCCCGTTATGGCCCTTGCATCCAGTTTTGTTCCAGCTGGTCGTGCTTCGACGGGTATGTGTATGAACATGGTTTCAACTAAGGATCGGAGATGCCCAATAAAGGGTTTCTTTCCGGTGAGTGCTTCGTATGGTGTCATATTCGGGAGTGATTTGTGCGGGAGGCGATTTTTGACGTGTACCATGGTGTTGATCGCTTCTGCCCATAGATTTTTTGGGAGATTGTGGTCGAGCAAGGCGGATCGTGCCATTGTTGCTATAGTTCTATTAAAGCGTTCTGCTGTTCCATTTGACTCATGGGAGTAAGGTACAGTGAATTCATGCTTTATGCCTTTAGAGGCGAAAAATTGTTGAAGGTCATTGGAGATGTACTCGCCACCGTTGTCGCTTCGAAACCGTTTAACCGTTTTGTCCAATTGATTTTCCATGTATGCGATGTATCGTTCTGTGGCAGCTGCTGCATTTGACTTCTTTTTGAGGAAGTAGAGGTGAGCGTACCTGGAGTAATCGTCGATGAAAGTGATATAGTAACTGAAACCGCCCAGAGAAGGAGTCGAGAACTTGCCGCTCAGATCTGAGTGTATTAGTTCCAGTGGTTGTTTGGATTGTGGTTCGGTGAGGGGAGCGAGGTGAGACTTGGTTGATTTAGCGAGTTCACATGTATTGCATGTTTCCATGTGACCAGATGTGGGGAGAGACTTGGGGTCTGCGACCATGGTGCGAAGCCGTGAGAGCGAGGAAGCGGGGAGATGTCCGAGCCGTTGGTGCCAGTCATAGAAGCTGGTGGCGGCAGAGAGGTGTGCGCAGGGTTCCTTGGTTTCAAAAATATATAGACCAGTACTATTTGCGTTAGCGATCCCGATGATTTCCTTGCTATTCGGTTTGTAGATGGTGAAGCCGTCTTCCGTCCCAATTGTTGTGAATCCCTTTTTAGCGATGCAAGACCAAGACATCAGGTTGGTATTGCCTAATTCGGGGATCAAGAATACATTCTGCAGAGTGATCAGGCCATGTGATCCGTTGATGGTGACGTTGCCAATTCCGGTTATCTGGAGTTTGCGACCTCCTCCAACAGTAACTGTTCCAGTATAGGGAGTCGGGTCGGTAACCAGCGTTCCGGTCATGTGGTTGGTTGCACCAGGGTCGAAGATCCACGCCTTGTTATCGGTGGTGGAAGGTCCTGCAATGAAGCCAAAGTAATCTTCCATGGTAATATCCGAGGTGTCATCTGAGAAGTTGGTGAAGTCGAAGTCAACCGGCATTGTGAACACATCGGTTTCTTCGAGTGCGGGAAGGCCAGAAAGATCGGGGATCCAAGAGAGGTCGAGTTTTGTGTGAAATGCAGTACCAGATGCGACGTTGAGGTTGCCAGATGCAGCGGACTTCTCCTTGTCTCTGAAAGCTTTCAGTTTCCGGCAGTTTTTGTGCGTGTGGCCTTTTGCATATTCTCCATTCTTGGTGCACCAGGTAAATGTGACGTCCCGATTTCCTGTTTCGTTGTTACGTGGCCTCCTGACTCTGTTGTTGTTTCCGTGTCCTGGGTTTCCTCGCCTGATTGTGTAGGCTTCTCCAGCCGCCTGTCCATCGTTGTTGCGCGGTGAGTCCAGATCCAACAGCTTTTCGTAGACGTCATCGAAGGTGACGTTGGGCTTGGTTTGCAGGTTGTCAACGACTGATTCGAGGGATTCGTGCCGGAGTGAGAGGAGTAGGAAGGATGCCTTCGCTTCTGAGACAGATGCGAGTTGGTGAAGGTGGTAACCGAGTGGGTCTTTGGTCTTGTCCGTAGAGTTACTAGTTCTAGTGAGGAGAGATGACCAAAGAGTGTTGAACTGGGTTAGATGTTCCTTGATACCCTTGTCGGGTGTGTACTGTAGTGTGACGACATTGGCGAGGAGCGAGTGGAGGGAGGCGACGGTTTTCCGATCGAATCTGTCCTCGAGTTGAGTCCAGAGGTGGTGAGCGGTGTCGGCCGGTGTCAGCGTGAGAATAACTTCAAATTCGATGTTAGATTGGAGGAATACGACCGCAAGGTTATCCTTTTTATCCCAATCGCTGATTTCTTCGGCATTGTCAGAGCTTTCTTCTTCGTCTTCTTCAGCCTCGGCTGTACTTCCTGATGCTTGTGGTGCCGTGGTAGGTACAGTAGTGGTGGTGGTTGTCAACACGGGACGCTTGCTCGAACCATTGACCAAGTTCCACAGATCGTGAACTTTCAACATGCGGGTAGCAAGGTCCCTCCATACAGTGTAATGGCCTTGACCATCCAGCTTGCATGGGAGTGCGGGAATTTTGATGCTCCTCTCAGACATGATTGAAAGTGAAACGAGAAAGTGTACTTTGTGGTAAAAATGGTGAAGAGTGTATAAGCGTGAGTGGTCTCCGGGCTCATAACCTAGAGAAAGTATGTAGGAGAAGTAAAGTAATTGATCGTGTTATTGTTCTAGCTAAGGGGGAATGCCCCGTATTTATACTAATGAAAGGTAGTACAAAAGAAATACAATGAGTCATAGACGTGTAAGTAATAGGATGACTAATAGGAAAGTGAGTCATACGCCGATGACAAATACTATAATGAAATGATGAGAATCTTCCAGAACTATGAAACGTGTCGAGCGTCCTATTTCAAGAACCTTCTCCAAATATCCCCACCCTTCAGGTAGGTCCACAGGAGGAGTCGCTCGAGCATATTCTCGACTTTTCCAGCACGTACTCGCCCGGCCCCGTCTTCAGCCTCAGATGTAGAGGATGCGTCCTTCATTTTCCACCAGGTTTTCTCCGATTGCGGCCCCGCTCGTATTCCATCGGGGTATCCGTGATCAATATCTGCCCACTTTTCCAACAATCCTTCTCTTTCGCGAGATGGGCAGCTAGCTGTTGGTGCTTGTGTGAGTGGTTTACCGACCATTGACGAGGCGCGAGGGGCTGTCAGCGATCTTGTGGATACAAGAAGGGGAAAACCCCCGAGTGACGATATCCAAGACAGTGACATGACGGCGACGGCGGGTACGATGACGGGGAAAAATATCAAAGTTCAACCTATCCGGTCGTGCACGAGCTGTTCAGAGCATTCTCTGGGTGCGGTCCAACGCTACAGGGACAGGCAAACATAGTCCGGCTTGTACTTCATGCCCTCTTCAGTCCCAACTCCTCCGACCTGCATATCTCTTCCCATCAGCACTCGCCTCCATCTATTCCCCTCTTTGCCCCAGAACTGGCACACGTAGACCCCCGGGCAGAAGAGTAGTGCCTACTCAACCCTCACACCGCTCGCGACTGAACTACTCGACTGCTTCCTTGTCCCGTTCCTCTCCCAGGGCAGTCATACACCAGCCGTGGCCCCTCCACCTCCTCGCTCATCACACCTACTTCACACTCTGAGGTTGATCCCGCGGTGCAGGTGACCTACAGCCGTTTGCACTCTCTCCGACGCCTTTGCCATCCCGGGATGGAAACAGATGTCTCACCACCCACCAAAAAGGTAGCTTGTACCTTCGGAGTGGCAACCAGGAAGACACAGGGTGTTCTCATGGCGCGGAGGTCCAAACCCAGAGCGCACCAGTGCACCTCGGATATCCCAACATCATCCCGCGCACTCTTAATCAGGCAGATGCCGGCGGAAATCTCGCCGATAACAAGACCATGGTATGGCGGGTACTAAATATGTTTGACCCGGCCTCGGTTCGGTGGTGGAAGGGGATGAGGTTGACGGCCCGGCAAATGTTATGATGTTGGTTCCGGAGCTGCATCGCCGGTTCGGACTCTAATGATAACTGGATGAGGTACCAGGCAGGCTAAGAGGGAGATGTGTATGTATTCAGGCAAAGCGGGTGCGCGCCGGCATTGCCTCAGTACCGTTTGCCCGCTGGAGGGGGGTATATCTAGTAAGCTTTACGCGCATCGATGGCAGCCAGACAGAATTGCCAAACAGGAGATTGCTGGCTAGACATAGGGCGTGTGCAAAGATGTTGGAGGTCGCGGGCGCAGCGAAGTATATGGAGGCTCTCTTAATGAATATGAGTAAATGAGAGTGAGGATTGGGCTGACCGGAGATGGAAGCTTAGATCTCACGATGGTCCCTAGGGTAGGGCTAGTCTTAGGAGGGATGGAGGGATGGAATATACTTTGGTGTCAAGAAGGCACTGGGGTTCAAGCGAGTTGAGTTGGGGGACTGTAGCAGGTATCGTGCACCTGGAGATGCTTTCGTAAGGTTGTGATTAAGAATAGCCTTCCATGCGCGCAAGGGGAAAAGGCAATGTGTATTGTTCAGGTAATCCGCGGCGATCACTGCAGTCAGCGTCTGCAATATCGAGACGATTAGTCGGCCGGACACAGCGGTTCGAATCCTACATGTATTTAAATCCCGGGAAGCGTAGGTTCCCGACGTCCCAAGTACTTAACCACTATCTTTTGAGTCCCCCCCATGAAGAAAGGTGTTGCAAATGCCCTTATGCTGGGTGCAGCTTGTTTTTCAGGACTATCGGTGGCCTTGTGGAGCACATTGAGACTATAACATATGTATTTATGAGCATAGCAACCCTTGGAAGACATCATCGCTCCTCCCCGGTGAGGAGACGTCGAACGCCATAGTTACGTTGGCTGCATGTAGTCTACCCTGGTTACATGGGGGAGGAGCGCAGTGAGGAAGAGTCGGTGGAGTGCATGAGAAGGCTGGATATGGTGCTGAGTGTTAGGCGGGAGAGGTGCGCCATGCGCCACTCGGAAAGCGTGGCCGGTGAGACTACGCGGTGGAGAGCTATGAGGGATGAGGGGTGGGGGTGCAGAAAGGAGCTGATGGTTGTGGTGGTGTTTTCATGTCCACATTGCTTTGCTGGTTGGTTTTGGAACTGTTTCGTTGCTCTGCTTTGTTTTACGGTAGTTATTGGCACCATTTCTGTGGCGTTTACATATGGTTCTGGGGAAGGGGGATTTTCCACGTTTGTGCGGTTTATACGGCTTTATTGACATCGTTTGTGGGGAATGTTTCGTGCGCTTGCCAGGTTGTTACAGTTGATACTGGCACACTTCCTGTGGCTATCCTGCGTAATCTTGGGACTGCTACGGTAGGTATCTGTCCTATTAGGTGTAGTTCTATGTGGCTCATACGATTGATTATACTTACGATGTTTTGAATATCCTTGTTTGCGTATTAGGACTTATCTGTTGGTAGCGAGATATTGCGGGGGGTCTAGCTGTCGGTTTGGGTGCTTCGTCTGTGGGTGGGTGGATGAGGGTATGAAGTATGAAGGATACAGATTGGAGGGTTTGAATTGGGTTTATGACTATGTGGGTGTTGCTGCTATACCACGTTTTAGAGCTGTAGCCCTCCGTGCCCGTTGGCGGGGAAGCACCTTTTTATAGCACCTGCAATTATCGAACAGAGATTATCGGCCTACATGGTAAGTAGAGTAAATTTGAACATAAGAGCATTGTTATAAATTGACGGGGCACTATCTAAGATTCCAAAGGTATTCGCCAAAATAGGGCCAGGCCCTGCAACAGAAATATATCAAAATACCAAAGCATAATTTAACCTTCAACCATTTAAAGATATGTGCTGGAACCACCTGCCACCTGCCTTCCTGTTTGAGGGTAGATATCTCGACTAGGCTCTCCGGAATCCTTTCAAGGCCCCCCTTTTCAAGGCCCCCTTCTCAATACCCGTCGACGTACCAATGTGCCCTCCTTGGATGGAACAACCTTCGTATGAGTCTCCGTTGTGCTATTCCTCTCCAAGTGGCACCTCCGGACTACTGGCCTCCTCGAGGGGTGACTCCCTCTTTTCTCTTCGGGCAAAGTCTGATGAGGTTCCTCACGGACATCCTCCCAGCCAGCAGAATCCGGAAGCTCCTCCAGCAGAGGATCAATCTCGTCCTCGCTAGGGTGCTCGTCGTCCGAAATATCGAGGCCACTGTCCGTGAGGGCGGCCTCCGCGATATCGTCCTCATCTTCATCATTTTGGCTTTTACTATCAAATTCCCTCCAATCCCAACACGACTTCCACCGATTGTGCACCTCCAGAGCCATATTTCCCGCCTTCCAGCGAGAAAGGAATCTCAGCTTAACCTTCCGGTATAGTATCGCAAATACCTGATCGCCCATCGCTTTATAGTTGAGCTCTTGTCCGTTCTGGATACCCCGGCAACTCTCAACTCCCGGAGCCACCACACTCGCCGTTCCAGCGGGTACCGGTAACCTGCCCTTTGCACCCCCGGTGCGCTTCCTCGCCGCAGATTTCAACATCGACGCATCGTGGACGGCCCGGAACCCGACTGTGAGATAGCCATTTACCCTGTTGTCGAACGCCTGTTCGAGAAACTGTTGGGAGCTAGCTTGAGTGCATGCAGCCGTAAACCAAGCCCCGGAGTTCTTGAGCTCGTAAGTGGTGACCAGCGGGGCGCTCAGTGTTGCGCTGCTATATCCGTGTACTTGATAGGAGGCGGAAAATGTGGAGCTGAGATAGGAGCGCAGCCTCGATGTTTTAGTGAATTTCCGGGTCTCGGAAAAGTCGTGTTGGACGGTTTGGAAAAAATCGGTATCCGCCGGGTGGTTCTCGAGAGGGTCAACGAAGTCTTGGTGGGGACATTTCGCGTTGAGGACTAGACGGCCAAGCTTGACGGAGTCAAGAAGGAGGAGGTTGCTGAGGATGTGTGCGGAAGCCATTTTTGGGTTGGGAGATAGAGTTCCTGTGGGATGTTTATCCCTGTGTATCTGGCTCTGATCCCTGAGTGATTTAAGATATATATATGGAGGGCAGCACGGCGGAGAGTGGTTTTTAGCTGTCGGAGAAGCATAAGGCAGATACGCAACTTCGCTGGCCGAGTGAGGAAGTCTGACGAGTTGGGAAGTTGAGGTTGTTCCTGCATCAAGTTCTCTAGTAATTAACTGATATTCCCGAGATTTTTGATGAGCCAGGAACCAACTGCAACGCCTCAAAATGCAGATTCGCAAAGCCCCACACCCCCCCCCCCCCCTTTCTACAGATGTGTGATATAGGAAGAAACACAAAAAAAACAGCAAGGCTCCCGCTGAGACTCGGGGGATGGTGAGGGCCATAAATTAGAAGTATTTAGCTTCGCCTGAGGACAGAGATTTGATCGGAGATTGGGATTTTCAAATTGGCCACCGGACCTTTATAATTACAGCTGACGGTTTCAGTTCTGCTGCAGTGATCGTAGATTCCTCAGTTGCCGCAAAACCACCTGCCCAGAGAGGATTGGTCCTCACTCATCTGACAAATGAGGAAAGCAAGTTAATTCCTAGAAAACCAAACAAGACAGGAAGAGGCTGTCGGGATTCCTCTGTACTCGCAATTCCTAATTGGCCAGTGCACATCCATGTTGTTTTATCCTTGAGGCTTAGCAAGAGGTTTCACCGGCCGCCAGCCTGCTTGAGGCTCCACTTTTGGAGGCTGATGTGTTGGCTGTGACTCCCGGGTGGTTTGTGAATGGATTGGATTTAAGGCTTTCCTCAGACCCAACTTATTCTCAAGGATAGCACTGACTAGTGGCTGTGCACTGGTACATGAAACTCTTTGTAGTCTGTATGTTACTGGACACAGCTGGAGGTACGTCTCAACCTTCATTGGCCGCCTTACAGGTAAGCCGTCAAAATATTTTGCCCTGGTCATTGGCCCATATATATCTAGTAGTGCAATGATGGACAGGATTTTGAGGTTTTCGGGGAACTGTTACTCCACAATTCCCGATTCCTTGGCTACGGGTTAAATAAGACGCTCCGAGTCTATCACGATAGGCAAGTGTGTAGGTACAGGAGGGCATGGAAATGATAGCAGGGGCATAGGTGATGGTTGGGGGCTGTTGAGTAGGGTAACTCCCTGTGAGCTTTAGCAACCTGTCCTGTTGCACTTCCGGGATTGTCACTCACTAGACGTGTACCACGATCGATGCCTGCATAGTGCTGAATGCACTATCTCAAGTCCACGATCATGACGGTGCTCGAACTTGAACGATGCCAAGTTTCCCCATCTTTTCCTTTGATGGAATATATAAATTTTGGATTTTGGCTTCAGGGTTACAACATTAGGTGAATCCCACTCCTTGCCTCCGTTGTGTTTTTTTACACCAACTAAGATTTTGGCTTCTGGGTTACTGCCTCGGGTGAATCCTGCTCCTCACGTCGGGTATGATTTCTAACACTTAATTAGATTTCAATCTGAAACCACAATGTTTGCAAATCATGAAATACAATATGTGAGTAATGATTTGTGATCAAAATTCCATATTCAGTATTGTTGCAGTTTGGTATTTCATCTCTTGTTGTTAGCATCCAACAAACATCAGTATACCTGTTGCCCTTTGCTAGAAGCACACGGTGCTTAGAATCCTCAAAGCACTCGGTAGGTAAACTACTTCTATAAAGATACTGTAAGCGAAACAGGCAAAACCTAGAGAACATCATTCGACCCAGGACATACTATTCCACCCAACTCGCCCAAACACTAAATAACAATACCCAACGTAATCCGCAGGCCAGTCCACTCAATTGAGAAGCAAAATTGCGTGTTTTTATATTTTGACTACTGCTGTAGCACTCCTATTAGCTCCAGTGGGCTTTGGGGATTGAATCATTGCCCTGCCATTGATTCCTCCCGACATTGTCGTACCGGGTGTTTTTAACCTGGCTCATAGTTGACTTACAGATTACTATATGTGAGTGCCAAGTTCTCTTCATGCATAAATCTCTCCGCTATATTTGCCTCCAGTATTCAAAATACACCAATGCGATTACCAATAAATCACTCATGCGACAATCTCGACTGTCTCAAAATCACTCTTGTCTGCACTTTTAGAATTGTTGGATTCAACACCATGATCTCCTACCTAATATTAAATACAATACGCATTTTCGCACCCTTACTAATCCTAATATAATGTATAAATCAGAATAAATCTCCTACTATCTCCCTTACCACTTGTTATTGTAATGGATATCTTCCTCCCTATTCCTTCGTAATCCCTCGCTACATGTAATTCCAGATTCTTTGCATCCTCCTTCCCCTGCTCTTTGGTGTCAATTCCATGAAGTTGGACATTAATTACTTCATCCTGAACACTGTCAGAACCAACTCAACCTCCTGGAGAATTCGTAGATGTCCTTTGACTATTTCAGAATCCAGCAAAATCTGCAGCCAGAGCTTTGTCATCCTCGCTAAAACTGTTCTCCTGTATTACTTCAATCGTAATCCCGTGTATATTTCATATCTATCTGAGTTAGCATTTTAAATACCACTCGTATTACTGCCATTTAGAAGTATTATTACTTTTCTCGACTGCTATTTTTGATTACCTCCAAAGTTGCTTCCTGATTGTGTTTATGTTTCTCCTTCAAAGTCTTGCCGATATTATTGAAAATTGTTATTCGAGTTTGTATTTGAGCTCAGCAGTTTCGGATAGCTATAGGAGCATCTGTCACTCTTCCTAACGTACTTAATATATCCATGAATGCATCGGCACGTACTGATTCACAATACCCTCAGTCTGCTACTTAAAATCTTGAGACTTTATCTCGCTCCCTGTTCACCACATTCGAATATCGTCATAGAACACCATCGATATAAAACAAAAAAGGGTAAGAATTATCAGCTCTAGAAATTCCGGTTCCCTAATGCATCACAATCTTACCTCATTAAAGTATTCAAAATACGATACATCAATAGCTTTGGAAGACAGAAATTGTAGTTGATAGGTGTAAAATCTCTTCCCGGCTATCCTACGTGCTTTCGGGAAATCCATAATAGCTCGTAATGCTGTTCTGGGCTGAAGAAATTATTATTCTTCAAAATTTAGTCCACTTGAGCCGCTTTTGCCTCAGGGCTTACACGATTTCCAAGCAGAATCTGTCAGTCGCTCTTTCACTTTGTGCATCAAGTGGGAATAGACATGAGAGTTTAGACTTAATATCTATTTTTTTCAATTGTGCTTTCAGAGAACTTGTAATCATTTCGAAAGCACCTAACTGTTTAATTATGAATTCATAAATGTGTACTCAAAACTTTCTTGGAGACCTAGAAGTTGCCCACTTGCTCACTACCAGCACCAAAAGTCTTGCTACAGGTGGAAAGAACAAATATTGCAGAATATTCTATTTGATTACCATGCTAAATCTCTTCTTAATCTTCTGAGCCTGCACTTCAAATACATCGTCAGTATCCTCTAGAATTCTAGTAGTAGAATGTTGGACAGGATTTTGAGGTTGCCTGGGAACCGTCGTCCCACAATTCCCAATTCCGTGCAAACAGATTAAATAGACCGCCCCGAGTCCATCGCCATCGTCAAATATGTAGGTAGCGGGGGTTGTGTACGTGATGGCAGGGGCGTGTATGGTGGTTGGGGGCTGTTGGGTAGGGTAACTCCTTGTGTGTCTTGGCGACCACATCGGGCAAATCCCACTCCTCATCTCTTGTGGGTTTTCTTAAACTGATTCGGATTCTGACCTATAGGTTACCATGTTGAAACAATACTGATTCTTACCTCCTGTTTACATAATTAGCCGAATCGTACTCTGGTAGGGCAATCTCGGACCGGATTTCGAGGTTGGCCAAGAACCGTCGCTCTACAATTCCCGATTCCGTGGCTATGGGTCGAACAGGACGCCCTGAGTCCATCGCCATCGTCAAATATGTAGGTACCGGGGGTCGTGGAGGTGATGGCAGGGGCGTGGGTGGTGGTTGGGGGCCGTTGGGTAGGGTAACTCACTGTGAGTCTTGGCGGCCTGTCCTGGAGCACTTCCGGCGCCGTCACTCACCGGTCGGGTACCACGATCGATGCCTGCATGGTACCGATTGCACCGCCCCAAGCCCACGATCATGACGGAGCTCGAAATTTAACCATGCCGAGTTTCCCCATCCTCCGCTTTGATGGAATACATGAATTTCGGATTCCGACCTCTGGGTTACCGCATCGGACGAATCCCACTCCTTGACCCCGGTGCGTTTTATTGCACCGACTCGGATTCTGATCTTCATCTTACCGCCCGTGTGTGTTTTCTAACAGTAATTCGGATTTCAATCTCGGACCATGATATTCACAATACTTGAAACCCAATATGTGAGTGACAATCCATGACTGACATTCCATATTGTGTATTGTTGCAGTCTGGTTTTACATATCTCCTGGGTAGGGTTGCTCAAAATTTCCAGAAAATGAATTACTTCTGGTAACTCACTGGATTATTTTTTCTGAGCCACAAACTGAATTCTTTTGAAACATTTTAGTTTTGTCTGAAAGCCGCTAACCCCGAAACTTAACGAAAATTTTCAAAGATACTTGCAAACTAAATTGTGATATATAATATTAACAACTTGCGATCCTAACAACACCGATAAAACTTTTTACAAAGACGATGCTGTGTGTCAATAGACTGCAGAATATACTAAAATCTTATCGCATATTTATTTGTACGGAACGTTATTGACACAATTGTCCCTGAATTGTGAACTCTTATCCCTCCCAAATTACTTGTTTAATAAAGGAAAACAATCTTTGTAACCATAGCAAAATACTCGTAAACTGTCATACACAACCCCCTTACGACGCTCTACCCCACCGAGCCCTGAAGGCAGGAAAAGAGGATTTTTACAAGTCTCCCCTGTCTCCAACTGGCTCGGTATATCCATCATGTCGCAATAAGACGTCCTGAAC